GAGGGGTGGTTTAGATGGGGCTTGTGTGGTTGTGTTGTTTCTTCGCTGATTGTAGCATTGATAATTCACCTACTTATTAAACAATTTGTTTTAAATTAGATTCTATGAATAAACTGAAACACTTGATCCTTTATTGTATAGATTTGTAACTTGGGATTGAGGCATGTTCAGACTGACAGACTGGCTTGATTCTTTTGATTTGAATATCCATTATTGTGCATCTATCATACCATGAATTTGGTGTTTTGAATTTTTTTTTAACTCCTGTATCTGTTAGAAACTATATCACTTATATTTATGAGATAATTACTGCCTTGTTTATTTTGAGCTTCTAACTTTTGTAGGAAGAGTTACTCCTGACAGTGTAACGTATAGCTTTGGCACACTATTGCTTGATCTTCTCAGTGGAAAACACATTCCTCCTAGCCATGTAAGTTTTTACCTGCTTAGTTTATCTTGATACTGTGAAATTGACTCAGCTATTATATTGTTTACTGTCTCGTGAAAATTAATCTAGAAACTACTTCCTAGAAAAAATGTTTTTGTCAATGAGCCAAAAAGTATTTTCTTGAAATCTTAATTGTTAACATTTTTGAGGAGTCACACCATATCTTGTTTGTATGAACTCTACTGCCTTTGCATTTATTACCGTTCTCTGGTGTCATTTAATTTGTTTGAGTAATGATTCATACTAGCAGCAATGTAATGTTACCTCCCAATGAGCGAAAACAACATGTAGTTCCATTTCACATTCAATGAACTCGTTCATTTCCACATACGGTGGAGTCACACATCATAACTAACGATCTGTGTATGTCTGTATATCCCCTACCCACCCAGTGTACTGTGTTTATCATTTCTCAATGATTGTTTTGCCTGACTTCTATCATCAATGATTCTTGATATTTGAAGTATCATAGAACTAGTGAAGCCTGATAGAACCTTAAAGAGATAATTTGGCATATGTGCCATGCACGACAGATTTGCGAACATCTAGCTTCCATGTACCTTTTCTGTTCTGTTTCCAATGAGGATGTGCGGAGACTTGATTAAGTAAATTAACTTTCAAGATTAGTGGATTTATAAACAATATTGTACAAGAAGATGCCAGGTGTTGAAGTTATCCTAGTTAGGCACGTTAATATGAGCTTCACCGCAGGATTTCCTGCCTTAAGTCTGTTGGATGGATCCAAGAGATTCTCTTTTATCTGATTTTGTTCACAAATCTGATTTAGTAGATACTTTTAACTCCTTAAGGCTAAACTTCTCGCCTTTGACATTTTCTTTTTATTAGTCCTGATTCTATTCATTTCCTGTCAGGCCCTTGATTTGATAAAGGACAGGAATCTTCAGATGCTGACTGATTCTTGCTTAGAAGGTCAATTTTCTAATGATCATGGAACTGAGTTAGTACGTTTGGCATCAAGATGTTTACAGTATGAACCCCGTGAGAGGCCAAATCCAAAATCATTAGTTGCTGCATTGATTCCTCTTCAGAAGGAAACTGAGGTTGGCTGTTCTCTATATGGAATAGCATGTAGCCTTTTGAGCTGAAGTCTTTCTAGTCTATTAAAGTATCACTTAATTATCTGCAGATATTGTAGAATCTCAGATTGCAAATAGGTCATTATACTATGGAACTATCACCTGCTTATGATAATTCCTAAATTATTGATTCACCTTTCTACTAGTATGCATTTTCTAGTTGGTATTTGCTTACATTTTTATTTTTCAACAGTTCATCACGTTTATAGGTATTCGCTTACCCTAGCTTTTACTTATAAATGATAAATTTTTTGAGATCCATCTGGAGCTTTGGCGTATGTTTAATGACTATTTTCTTGGCATTACAACTATATGAGCTTAAACTTTTGACTGTTGAAAAACTAGAGTCTTGTTACTGATTCTTGGGTTACACGCACTTCAAGAGATTTTGTCATAATTTCTTTCCAAGAGTTTGGTGCATATTTTCTAGTTGGCACATCTCTTTTTTGGAGAAGTTCCCGTGCAATTGAGTTCACATTTGTCTTAGTCGTTCCATTGAAATGTCGATATATGAATTATCTAGTTTAACGTGTCCAGTTCTTACGAAAGAGTTAAAATTGTGAATGTTATTCTCAGCTTCATTACATCTAGCACAAGTGTTATCTTAAAAAGATATCATGCAGCTATTTTTACAGTTTCAACAGGAAAATTATCTAAAACGTTGAGAGCAATAATCAGGAGTAATAAATTGAATAATTGGATATTACCAATTTACTATTCACTGCTTTTTAATTTGCGCACATTCTTGTTTTTATGGGCGTTGTATAATTGTTTACTCAAACCAGAATAGATAAAGTAAAATTATGGCATTTTGGTGAATGAAGTTGTTTAATCTAGCACAGTATATGAAGTTGTATCTGTCATATTTGATCCTTGTGCTAAATGCATTTTGCAGGTACCTTCTCATGTGTTGATGGGTATCACTCATAGTGGTGAGGTTATGCCTCTATCTGCACTTGGTGAAGCATGTTTAAGAATGGATTTGACTGCTATCCACGAGATATTAGAAAAACTTGGCTACAAAGATGATGAGGGAGCAGCAGCTGAGGTTTGTTTCTGATGGATCAGATTTATAAGTTTCACGATACAGCACAGATTCAATTTCACTCAAAAAGTTACTGTTGGTGCCGCATGATTTTGGTCCTAAAAAAAGGACTAGTTTTATTATGAGATTTCCTGGTTGTTTCAGGAGTTGTTTGATTGATATGCTTTACCCAAATTTGAGATTTACCTTTAGACATTCTTTTCTTCTATTAGGATTTCAATTCACTGTTTGATAATAAAAAAAAATGCAGATTTTAGGCTTGAGGTTTCTGTGATTCATTAACAGTGTATATATGTTACGTAACAAATCTCATGACACTGCACGACAGAAAAAATGACGTTAAGGAATTACTGAAGTCAATTCTGATCCTTGGGGTTGGCATGAATTGTCGACATTTATTCACCCCTCAATAATCTAAAGTAGCATTATAGTTTCCCTCTATAATGAGGAATTGTTGTGGCAAGCCAGGTTGTGGAGTGATGTCCAGTGTACAAGCCCAGAAGTTATCTGCCATATTCTTGGTTTTCAAGCAGGCTTTGAAGCAAAGACTTGATGCATCGACATGTATATCTGTAAACGTTAGCATTTTGTCCCAATGGGAGCTTTTTGCAAATATGGAGCAATCATTAAGGGAATTCATATTGAACTGTCCTTGCCTGTATTCTTTTAGTATCCATATGTACTTGCAATGATGTGTCCCTGCTCCTGGAAGCTCTGCCTTACACAGAGACTTTCTTTATTCCTTTAGTCTATTTTTATGTGCTCTCATGTGGTTATTTGACTCTAATGTCAATTGATATAAGTCCTCATCATATAGTTTGTCTGTGTAACATCAGCTGTTGTGTATTTACATGGTGCCTATGTTTGATTGACCATGAACGTGTTATTATCTCTATTGTGCACTGCTCTGGTTGATTTTGCACAATGACTATTTGTTTCATGTTTGTATATTTCATTCCACACCTGAATTTTGTTTCCAATTTCACAATTCTTATGCACTTCATTGCAGCTTTCATTTGAACTGTTGTTTCAGATTGCAACCTGTGCTATACATGTCTTGCTCACCATCACTTTTTTGCTGAGTGCAGCTTTCCTTCCAGATGTGGACCAAGCAGATGCAGGAAACGTTGAACTCAAAGAAAAAGGGTGACGTGGCTTTCCGGCATAAAGACTTTGGGCCTGCAATTGAATGTTACACTCGGGTTAGAACTCTAAATAGAATTCATTAAAATGGAGACGAAAAAAGCCTTTTAAGTGATTTTTGTGTGGTGTTCGGCTTTTGCTAAACTCAAAGAAAGAAGCCTTTTAAGTGATTGAATGTTACACTCAGGTTAGAACTTTAAATAAAACTCATTACGAAATAAGCCTTTTAAGTGATTTTTGTGTGGTGTTCGGCTTTTGCTGAACTAGTGTCAATGAGATCAAAAGAGAATGCCAACATAGATCACGGAAATTGATGAATATCACGATGATTGACGAAGATTGAGACTTAACATAATTATGTATATAATTGTATCTATCATGTTTAGGTTGATTATATCTATCATGTTTAGATTGATATCATTCAGTCAAAAGTTTGTCACGGTATCAGAGCCTGGTAGACTTTTACTAAATCCTCAGTTTTCTTTGGTCATAACTTAGCCTTTCAGGTGTGGGTTTCTTGTGGTTGTGCATTGTTGATAGAATTGTTGGTCAACGTGTGACTCGTGTGTTTCTTGTGGTGGTCGACAATTGACATAATTTTTGTGGACTTGTGACTCTTTGGTGCATTGAGGAGTATCATCTTTGAGTTTTTGGTGGAGGTTGTTTAGTGGAATGTCTTCAAACTACAGCATCTTGGTCAGCGATATATTGCTGGATTTTGGTCGGTGCATTGGCTGTTAGAGCTTTTGTCGGAATCCGAATTATGTGTTTAACTGAGTTCTTTCGACTAATAGAGCTCATTGTGTGTGTTCAGCTCACTTTGAGAATTTTTTTGGAAATTCTTCTTGGGGTGTAAGCTCTCTGAAATAGTTTTGGAGTGTTCTTAGAGTGGTTTAGGAATAGTTCTTGAATATTTCTGCACTATTTTTTTGTTCTTGAGTCTATCATCATCACTATTTTTCATAGACTATGATACACAGACACGGATACGTGTGTCCGATACTATACTGACACGTGATTTTTCAAAAAAGTACTGACATGACACATCGTCGACACGTTGATTAAATTCTTTAAAAATCTTCATTTATATAATATAAGTTTAGTTATACTTGTTATTAATTTTTTTTATTGAAATCTTTTAAATATGAGTACCTATTTGTTATTTACTAATAATTTTAGGTTACAAATATATAATATTTTTAATAAAAAATGAAAAATATTTACGATAAAGTGTCCGAGGAGTGTCGGTATTAACACGTGTCGGACATGGACATGCTATCCTAATTAAAGTGTCCGTGCTATAGAGTTCATAGATGATTGCTGTAATTTGGGTCTCTTCATTGTCGCATGAGGATTGTCTTTGTCGGTAGTTTATGAATGCAAAATGATGCTTTTACTAGCATCAATTTGAGGTGGATGTCAATGAGATCAAAAGAGATCGCCAACAGGGATCATGGAGATTGACGAAGATTATGACTTAACATAAATATGTATATAATTGTTTCCATCATACTTAGGTTAATTACATCTTTAAATTGATATTATTCATATATAATGTAAGTAATCATTCAGTCAATCAAAAGTTTGTCACTACGAAAATTTAATGTAAGAAATTATTCGGTCAAAAGTTTGTCACAATGGAAATACCAATTAATTGACCTATGATTGTTTGAACAGCCTCAGTTAATTCTGTCTTTCTTTGATAAGAATCAATATGATCTTTATAAGGCTCCTCCTCCAAATGAAATCCAGTGGGATCTAGAGAGACCATGTCTTCATCCAATAGGATGCCAAGTCCTAGGATCGATCGAAAGTTCGATTCTATCTGAACTACTCATTTTCAAATGGATATCCGATATTGCACACCGTCATTTAGATATTGCAATTCTTTCCCTAATAGCAGGTTACATGTATGGGGCTAACTGGGGCTTTTAGATTAGGTGATTCAGCTTGGTTTCAAATTGGACAAAGGTCCAAAGTTCAAGTTTCACTGCCACCCATCCATTCTTTAAGTTTGTGCATGTTTCAAGCCTCAAGTGAAAAAATGAATTTGACCTGAAAGTGAAGGGTTTGTTATATATATATATATATATATATATATTTTATTATTATTATTATTTTTTTTTTCTGGTCTTCCTAAACTACCTACCTACTTGGAATTGCTGCCCACATAATTCTGGAGGGTGTTACTTACCTTGAAAAGTGTCATTTGATCTCTTTCGTTAGTTTAGTTTCTTTTTTGGTGGTACTGTTGCTGCTACCAATCTATCCATTTGAAATACTTTTAGCAAAGATTACATACTCTGAATATTATCAGTTGTCTAACAATGGCAGCTCTTTTGTAATTATTCTTGCAGTTTATTGACGTTGGAACAATGGTCTCGCCAACTGTTTTTGCACGCCGCAGTTTATCATATCTCATGAGTGATATGCCACAGGAAGCCCTCAATGATGCAGTACAAGCACAAGTCATTTCTCCCGTTTGGCATATAGCTTCGTATCTACAAGCTGCTGCTCTTTTTGCTCTCGGGAAGGAGAACGACGCACAAATCGCAGTCAAAGAGGGTTCAATACTTGAAGACAAGAGGAAAACAACTTCCAGAAATTAGAGGGGATTTGGCCAACAATTTTCCCCGAGACAGTTATAAATCACGAGCCTCTTGGTTTCTGGACTGTATATAAAATCCTTTTCGACTCTATGAGCAACATATAAAAGAACATTCTGCATCATTTGCATCCATGACCAGTTATCTCGGCTGAAGGATTTTTTTGCGACATCATTGAGCCAGTTCTTTCTCTTCTGCTTGGTCTGGTAGTCAAAATTCCCTCATGGACAGTTGTTTGACCTTTTCGAATAACAAACTCTAGGGGATAATTTAATGCCATTCGTGTGCATTACATGTTGATAAAGGATTGATCTTCGAGTTGGAAAGGGATTCGAGAGACTTGCTATGCCATTATTTATGTACAGTGTTACATGGCTTGGTCATCTGAGATTGGCTTTTTTCTTGGATTTGGTTGCTTTGTTACTTAAGAAGGTTTATTGTGGGCATCATTTATTTGTATGGCAAAAATATTCATGTAGTCGAGTTTCTTGAAAATGAAACTTAATTATGAGAGTTCATTGGATAAGTATTCTCTGCGACTTGTTATCATGCTCAACCATGGATCATTTTATGGGATTTAACAATATTTTGGACTTAAGTCTTCATTTTTCATTAAATTTAATATTTGACTACACAAATCTTTTTTTATCGGTCAAGGCGACTCATTGCTAGAAAGGTCAGTTTATTGAAAATCGAGATGCCATATTTGCAATAGTGACTCAGAGTGAACAATATGATTCATTTATGAACAAAAATACAAACTTACGCAAGTTATATTCAAGCGTTGAAAACAATATAATAATAATAACTCTCACAAATACAATCAAAAGAAAACATTATTCATACTGAGAAGAACATCAAAACACAATGTATCAAACAATTGACTCCACTCCTAATGGTCCAAGTCCTCCTCTTCATCAACTTCTTCCTCGTTATCAGCAGCTGCATCCTGATATTGCTGATATTCTGAAACCAAATCATTCATATTACTTTCAGCCTCAGTAAATTCCATTTCATCCATTCCCTCTGCAGTATACCAATGCAAGAAAGCCTTGCGCCTAAACATGAGTGTGAACTGCTCGGAAACGCGCCTAAACATCTCTTGGATTGACGTAGAATTCCCAACAAATGTCGATGACATAGAAAGCCCTGTTGGTGGAATGTCACAAACGCTCGATTTAACATTGTTTGGTATCCACTCAACAAAGTATGAGGAGTTCTTGTTTTGTACATTGATCATTTGCTCATCAACCTCTTTCGTGCTCATTTTACCGCGGAACATGGCTGAGGCAGTTAGGTATCGGCCATGGCGTGGATCGGCTGCACACATCATGTTCTTGGCATCCCACATTTGTTGAGTGAGTTCGGGAATGGTGAGGGCTCGGTATTGTTGCGATCCACGTGAAGTCAAGGGTGCGAAACCGACCATGAAGAAGTGTAGACGGGGGAATGGAATCAGGTTTACAGCCAATTTTCTGAGGTCGGAGTTCAACTGGCCAGGGAAGCGAAGACAACATGTTACTCCACTCATAGTTGTTGAAATCAAATGGTTCAAATCACCAACTGCAACCATAGACATATTCAATTTGTTATAACTAATACTCTAGTCATAAGACTTATAACTCGATAAGAGTGGACAAGAGCAAACGGGATAACTAATTGTAACTTACAGCTTGGATTTGTGAGCTTAAGTGTGCGGAAGCAAATGTCATACAGTGCTTCATTGTCAAGAACCATACACTCGTCAGCATTTTCAACAAGTTGGTGAACGGAGAGGGTGGCATTGTAGGGTTCGACCACGGTATCAGAAACCTTGGGCGACGGAAACACCGAGAAAGTCATCATCATCCTATCAGGGTACTCTTCCCTGATCTTGGATATGAGCAGCGTCCCCATCCCCGAACCTGTTCCCCCTCCAAGTGAATGGCAAATTTGAAATCCTGTCACACAATGAAACAGTCTGATCAATACATAAAAATGAAAATCTTGCAACAGATAGAGGAGTCAATGGAACAGTGCAAAAATTTTTAGGTACACGGTACTCGACAGACTAAAAATGACTGTGGATAAAATTTTAGCAGCCTTTTCTTCTATAGTACTGTCTATTCCACCTTACTAAACACACTAAAAATGAAAAATCTTGGAACAAATTTTGGACTAAAACAAGTATTTTAGCCTTGGGGTTTGATTCGAAGGAAATTGCAAAAACAAACATTACCAAGAAAAGCTACACTAACAGAATTAATAGTATATGTTTGACTCAGCCTAAGAGCGAATTTTTCTGCTTTTTTGGCAGTAGCGTCCCTTTTAAGCCGGGCCAATCGTGCTCATACCTTGTAAGCAATCACAATTCTCTGCTTCTTTGCGTACAACATCAAGAACAGAGTCAATCAATTCAGCTCCTTCAGTGTAATGCCCTTTAGCCCAATTATTTCCAGCACCATTTTGCCCAAAAACAAAATTATCAGGCCTAAAAATTTGCCCGTATGGACCAGTCCTTAAACTGTCCATGGTTCCGGGTTCAAGATCCATAAGCACAGCTCTTGGAACATACCTCCCACCACTCGCTTCATTGTAATAAACGTTCAGCCTCTCCAGTTGAACCCTAGAATTTCCCACATAATTTCCAGTGGGACTAATTCCATGTTCACCACAAACTACTTCCCAAAACTTGGCCCCAATTTGGTTGCCACATTGCCCAGCTTGAATGTGAAGAATTTCTCTCATTATTTTTCTTGAATCAAAGTTTAAGGAAATGGGATTTCAAGAATTTGGAACTTTGATGGGGGCAACGAGTGAAGGGAGAGGGCATGGAGGAATGAATTAAAACAGGGTTTTTGTAGTGAAGATTGGATGGATATTATGTGATTAAGACATTGATATTTTTTTTGGGTTTTGGGTGCATGTTCAGTTGGAAAAACTCTATCGACAGAACTTAAGAGCAAGTTTCTAATTTACTGTTCGTTCTTAATTAATATTGTCCAGTTGAATACTCATACCAAACGTACAAGATAACAATAATGGAGAAATACAATCAATAATTTTTCATGTGGGCATGGATATGCAGAAAATGTCAAAGATCGAACAGGAATTGTGAGCTGGAAGTGGAAGGAGACAAGACAACCAGTTTCCATGCACTTTCATGTGGCTTCGTACGTCCCAAATTACGGTTCTATCCTTCGCAATACTTTTTGTATCTTTACTCATTTATAGAAGTCAAGCCATCCTGATTTTTACCATGTTCTTGATATTTGCTTTGAGGTTTAAAGGAATTTGTTTAATTCAAGTTGGGGAGAGAAGAAAAAATAACACTGTTTAGTAATTTTCTTTAGAACGACCCACCTTTTAGCTGATACGTAAAATATATTAGATGAATTTCGTAACCTATCTCATCTTTTTTTCACCTCTTATTCTCCACCTAACACTAGCAGCAGGGACGGATCCAAAATTGAATTCAACACCGGACTAAAAAATTTCAAGCCGAGCTAATACGTGAAAAAAAAAATTACACACTAAAAATCTGTTTTTACCAAAAAAAAAGGGGAAATTACCCCCAAAAAAATATTAATTGGGCCGGTAGAGGGGGGGACTACAGCCCAGCTAGTCCCCCCCTAAATCCGTCCCTGACTAGCAACCTCACATCTCTTGTATTGTTTCTTGTTTTTCTATGTCCTATTCCTACCACTTGGAGACGTAGGTGCTTGAGAGATTTTTGAATGACTCTCAAGTAGTGCCGGATAAAGAGTATGGAATATTAAGATTTATGGTTCTATCTTAAAAAGTCAACCTTGTTAAGAGAAATAATCTAAACTCTTATAAATTGGTCTATATTTTCATTTATATTTGATGTGGAATTATATTCTTTAATATTCCACCGCAAGATGGTGGCTCGTTTGAGTAGACTAATCTTGAAATTCGTGTGCTCATTTTTTGAGTTTTAATCAGATCGAATCGCTCGTTAGAGTTTAATGGGTTCTGATACCATGTTAAGATTTGTGGTTCTATCTTAAAAGGTCAACCTTATAAATTTTAAGATTTGGGGTTCTATCTTAATGGGTTCTGATACCATTTTAAGATTTGGGGTATCATCTTAAAAGGTCATCTTAAGAGGAGTAGCCTAAATCCTTATAAATTGGTCTATGTTTTCATCTTTATTCGATGTGAAATTATATCCCTTAATAGAGAAGAAGATTGATAGAGGTGAAGACAAAGTTTAATTTTACTTCTTAGAGAATAAGGTAGTTGTCAAATTGTTCATTTCTATAAGAATAAAATTCAAACAAGTTATGCTACCAAGTCAAACATGAAGAAATCCTCTTGGATGGTCAAAGTCATGTTGATTTTTTTAATCTTCTAATAGGAAGCATGTAGAGTGAATTACTCAAATGGTCATTGAACTTTATAAAAAGTTTTCACGAGATTACTGAACTTTAAAAATTACCTAATTCATCACTGAACTTTGCAAGAGGTTTCCACGGGGTTACTGAACTTTAAAAATCACCCCCATTCATCACTGAACTTTGCAAAAGGCTTCCACAAGATCACTGAACTTTACAAAAGATTTTCGAGGGGTCACTGAGTCACTAAATTTAGTGACCCTTCGGAAACCTTTTACAAAGTTCAGTGATGAATTAGGTGATTTTTAAAATTTAGTGATCTCGTAGAAATTTTTTGCAAAGTTCAGTAATTAATTGAATTATTTTTAAAATTCAATGACCCTTTAGAAACCTTTTACAAAGTTTAGTGACCATTTGGGTAATTCACTCGAAGAATGCAACTTGTATTTGTAAAGTGGCAAGCAGTGCAAACCATCTTACAACTTCATTCATCGTGCGTGTTCATTGGGTATGTGCTGAAACAATTGAGTACTAAGTAAGGATGAAGGATAGAATTTGTTATTGAAAGAAAGAGAGAGTTTGTGATACTTTGTAACTCTTCTTTGAAATTCATCTTGTAATTCTCCGTTCCTATTTTATTGTAAAATCACATTATTTCTTGAGTGAAATCTTTAAGTTGAATATTATTATCTTTCATCATCCTGGGTATTCATCCTAACAAAGATTACTCGACAAAAGTGAAGGATAAAGGACAAAGAAGAAGATGTCTTGACAGTTGATAAAAGCAATGTTATTTTTTTAATTAATTGGGTAGTAATTAATCCTAATTGTTTGATTAATATGATTAATTTATGTTATATTTTCTTAAGATATCATTAAAAAACTAATAATAATTGTTGATTTATAAAAAATTCCGTTATTATATAACATATTGTTTATTAAATTTAAATAATACTATGAGATTAATAAGTTAACTCCGGTAAAATTCGAATGAGACACAATTTTCCATTACTGTATCACACCCAACATATCATAATCCCTTTGGGCTATTTTATCAAATATAAAACTACTATTTGCCCAAGCATGCATATGAAAAAGCATTACTGCTATAAGTAAAAAATTCATGCCTAGTCATATGATCTCTAATAGGTGCAATAATCTACAAATTCTATGTCAATTATTTTTTTATTTGGCAGTACAAAGCAAATTATTATTATTATTATTTATTTTTTTATATCTTGTGCAATTTATGAAGAAAAAACTTGTTTTATTGATAAAGTTAGGTACCAATTGGAGTGATATAACATCTTATTGTGAAGAGAGGGTGAGAGGTTGGAGTGTGTAATTATTGAAGCCAATTGTCTCTTTCCACATCTCATTTCCAGTTCTCATAAAAAGGATGGTTGGCAATATTTATTTTATTTCTAATAGAATAATACGTTGTATTTAATTGGTATCAAAGAAAATAAAATCACGCCGATTTAGATTAATATAGATGAGGAGAACAAAAGCAAGGAGAATAGCTTGTAGGATTTAGATTTATGTCAACTCAACTCAAATGATCATATAGTTGAGTAGGATTTTATAATACAGATATATTTGACAGGGTTTTGCTAGGAAAACAAGGAGGCGAACAGGAACCCCGCAAATAGAGGGGGTCCCGCATGGTCAGCCTCCCTGTCATAGGAGCAAAACCCTATTTGACATTTTGTGTTTCATTAAATAAAGATATACTTGACATTTTGCCGTATACGGCATGTTTCAAATTATTGGCCAAAAACTCATGTGCAATTTTAAGAATGTCGCTTAGTTTTATTTTGTTACAATTAAGTTAGTTGAATTATACTTTTGCCTCAATCAAGTCACTCATTCTCGTGATGTCAGCGGGCTAATCAGAGAAAATGACATGGATGTTCATTTCGCATAAATAAATTTCATCCAAACACAAATTATATGCTATATCAATTTTTCTATATGTTGAACAAAGAATATATTAGAATGACTCGATTGAAATAAAATTACATATCTAATTCCAACCGTGACAAAATAAGGTTCAACGACTTAAATGAAATTAGGGATGAAATTTTTTACCCTTTGGTTATATTTTTTATGCATCTACTCCTTTTCCTTTTTACCCTTCTCTCCTCTCTCTCTCTCTCTCTCTCTCTCAGGGATCAACTAGTAAATTAAATTATTGCTTTAGCATTTAGAAAAAGATTAGAGAATAAGACAGGATTACTGTGTAGAGATCATGATTCTACAGCTTGTTGCTTTTAAAGCACTATTTCCAAAATCATATTTTATTCCAATAATGTTTAGACTTAACGTTGATTAAGAGATGATAATTATGAGATAAGATAACCTGTCTGTACCTAAATTACTACCATAATATCACTTGTTCCCCAAGGCAACCTATCTAGGTGCTGAACCACATCTATCTTGCGTCGTCTTTGACAATTCATTATTTTTATCAACATAATTTTCATTAATGGCAAGGGTCGGAAATAGAGAGTTTTGAAGGGAATTGCATTCATTAAGGAAGCAAACAAGCATCGATCTATTTAAGGAAGGGATTCGCCCTATCCACCAAGCGTTAACTGCTACACGAGAGTACAGCTAACCTAATAATTAGCAATGACAATTGATCTTAATCTCATGAAATATCGCTTGTTGCATGTTTTATCAAATCCCATCGGCTAAAAACTTGACAACTTATATTATTGAATTTTTTTCCTGTGACGCTAAATTTGAATAATATTACATGCAATTTATTCCTCAATTTTATAAAGACATACTAATAGAACCATTAGAGATTCATAGGTTCAAATCTCCTATAAAAGCATGTCACATATGTAGGAATTCATCGTTGTTATTGTTTAATTATTGTACTTACATGTTCTAAACTAAGAAGAATGCAAAGAGACGTGCGAGTAGTTATAACTGGCTCTGATAGCGTATCCTCGTCAGTATTTAATTCTTAGTTGATTTTCAATGCATGTTTAATAAGCAGAATTAAATGTGCCAAAAATTATCCCTCCATAAAAAATGATGAAACCAATGTGATTCATAAAGGATTTTGTTAAATATACACTGGCGGTGTACAGCTCCCCTCACAAGAGGAAGGTCCACGATTTTTTATTGGACGTGGGCCGCGCTCTTGTGAGGGGTCTATCAACCCCGATGTACACTTAGTAAAATCCATTCATAAATATAAAATAATATGCAACGTGGAGGGAAGCCAGTGGGAGAATGGGAGCACATTAGGATTGCGAGCCCAACCAAGGTGATTCATAAAGAGATCTTACAAAATTCCGACTTCGAGCATAAGAATATATAGAAACAGGTCACTTGTTTCTTGAGAACAAGATTGAAAACATGTTCAACTAAAGGCTCGTTTGACATGACTTTTGGTTATGTTTTGTGACTCGAATTCCATGTGATTTTGAAATTCATTCATGGAGGAAACCTAGATAATTTTGGTTTAGAAATCCGGTTTGTTAAGGGATTAAATTTCATCAAAGATTAATAGTTCGACCGGGAAAAGGACTCTGAAATGGATAAGGAAGTGATTTCGACGCATTGTGACAGAGATGAGGCACCTAGGCGCCGGTAGCAAAAAGAGGAGGAAGAAGTGTCGGCACTAGGGCGCCAAGGTGTCACTTGTTTTGGGGGGGAGGGGGGGGGGGAATTTCACCCCTATTTGGTTTTTGACGCGATTTTGTGTTCTACTTCATCCATAACTCTAAGATTTAGCTCCTATAAATTCTCCACAAGGTGTAGGTTCTAAAGTGACTCGAGATAACAATTAGATCATTGTTATATACATTAGAAGTTTGGTAGAATTGTTTAGATTTAGATTGAGAGAATCAAATCTTGTAAAGACAATTTTAGTTTTTTAGTATTAAAAATTCTCTACTTCTTCCACAAAAATCTTGGTTGTTGTGTGATCCATTATTTTCATGTTTGCCCATATTTTCTCGTTCTTTAATTATTTGGCTGAATTTCAATAAATTGGTATCAGAGTTGAAGGTTTTCGGTGGGTTCTTAGGAGGTCCAAATTGGATATTAAAACAAGGTTGAAGCAAGATCAATTCTTTCAGGAATGACAACTATGAAATTTGAGATTCCGCTTTTGAATCTCAACAGCAGATTCTCTTTGTAGCAGATCAAGATGCGAGCAATTCTTGTTCAATTAGATCTTGACGATGCTTTGTTGGGTATAGATAGATGCCCGCATAAATGACTGTGGAGGAGAAGAGAACGGAAGGGTCAAAAAGCCCTATCACATCTTCATTTTCATCTTTTGAATCAAATTCTTCACGACATAGAAAATGTCGCTGGGTGATTGTTAAAATTGGAGCAGCTCCGCATGAGAAAGAGCTTGGCAAGTAAGTTACACTCGAAGCAGCAGTTATATTCTCGTCACTTGACGAAAGGTGGATATTTGGAAGATCATCTATCAGCGTTCAAGGAAATCATTGTTGACTTAGAGACCATGATGGTCAAGTACGATGAATAGAATTTGGGGCCGATATTGTTATGTTCATTATCGCCTTCATATGTGACTTTTAGAGATATCATTCTCTATAGTCAGGATACTGTCACTATTGAAAAGGTATATGATGCGCTTTACTCCAGTGAGAAGATGAAGCATCTGGTTGTCGAATCTGAGGCCCAAGCAGAAGGCCTTTTTATTTGTGAGAGGAAGACAGGAGGTCGTGAAAGGGGCAGAGTCAAGGATAGTAACAGTGATATAGTCCGTTGATATTGAAACAACAAGGGGCACATGAAGAGGGATTGTTATAAATCGTTTCATACTACAAATTAGAAGGAACAACCAGGAAATTCCGATAATGTCAATGTTGCAGAAAAGATGGTGATGGATATCTTTAGGCGATTACTGAAAGCGACTCCAAACCTGACGATGATTGGATTCTTAATTTGGCCTACACTATTCATAAGTGTTCAAGCCTTGTAAAATAGTTGGAATTGGTAATGTTAAAATCAAGATGTTTGATGAAATAATTAGAACACTTGACCAAGTTCGACATGTTCTAGGTACAAACAAGAATGTAGTCACTTTTAGTTTTCTTGGGTATAGGTAATACTGGTAGAGGTGGAGTTCTGAAAGTTAGCAAGGGTGCTCGGATTGTGTTAAGGGGGTGGAGAAAGTCCCGATTATGTGTTGAAGGTTCGGCAGTCACTGTAGATGTAGTTGCAACTTATGGTTTGATAAGCAGTGACTCAGGCGACGTTGGTTGTGATCAGTTTGTTCGTGGTGATTCGAATAATAATATTGGAAAATCTTCTAATGACTCAGGTGGAGCTAGTTGTGATCTTGTTGATTATGTCGCTTATGGTGGTTTGAGCGGGTTTGACAACTTGTGTGGAGTTAGAAGTGCTCATGGTGATTCAAGTAGTCTTGGTGACTCGGCTAACACTGGAGATAAATAGAATGATTCCCGTAAATTTGGCACACAAGGTAGTTCCATTGGTAAGTAGGGCTTGAGTTTAGTTCACAGTTTCTAAGTATGCCTGACAAAGGCACGGTATGCCTGGAAGGGGCATGGTGGAGGAGTTGGAGAATAACTTGAAGAGTGAGCCCCTGTTTGGCCCCTATTATTTCAAATTATAATTTTTCTCGTATTTTCAACCATACGACCTTTCATAAAATAATATTACACGATAAAAAAAAATTCTTTATTTTTCGACCACACATTCTCAAAAAAATATTATTTCAAAAATTATAAATTGAAATAATGGGGGCCAAGTGAGAGCAAAGACTTAATTCCTTCCTGTGAAATTTGTGCCAATGTAGAGTTTGTTACGCTTGGTAACTCAAATTCCATATGATTTGGAAGTTTGATTCGTCGAGGAATCTCAAGTAATTTTGTTTTAGAAGTCCGGTTTGATAAGGGATCAAATTTCATCATGGATTGAGAGTTTGATTGAGAAAATGACTCTAAAATGGATAAGTATTTTGGATGCATTGGGATTGAGATTCGGCAATTAGGCTCCGAGTCGTGACACCTATGCGTCATGACCAAAAAGAGGAGGTAGAAAGGCTGGCGCTGGGGCGTAGCGACAACTGTGGGGGAAATTTCACCCCTATTTGGTTTTTGATGAGGTTTTGCGTTCTTTTTTCATCTATAACTCCAATATTTAGCTCCTATAAATACTCCACAAAATATAGGCTCTTAAGTGAATTAAGATAGGCTCAAGATAACAATTAGATCATTGTTGTATATATCATAAACTTGAGTGAATTGTTTAGATTTAGATTGAGAGAATTAAATCTTGTAAAGACAATTTTAGTTTTTTGGTAAAGTAAATTCTCTTCTTCCACACAAATCTTGTTTGTTATGTAATCCATTATTTTCATATTACATATATTTTCTCGTTCTTTAATTATTTGATCGGATTCTTAACACTTAGTCAAAAAGAGTTTTTGAGATACAAAAGCTACTTTTGAACTTGTTTGGCTAATTTTATAAAATTGTTTTTGGTAGTTAGAAAAGTATTTTTAAGAATTAGCTTTCATACAAAACTTAAGATAACTTTCCCCAAAAGTTCTTTCACAGGAAGGAAAAGTAAAAGAAAAAGGAGTGTCAAATGAGCCCTAACAGTCTTTAACTTGACCAAGCAGCGAGAAAAGTTGCAAACAATTCTACTAGATCTAATGATAAGCTTCCTTTCTTTAAATATTCTATTCGAATTGAATTCTAAAATGTATTATAATTAGAATTAGTAAATTATTGGAATAAACAACATCCATTGTCTAATGGATAGGACACATGTCTTCTAAACCTTTGATATGGGCTCAAATCTTATTGAACTCAATTTATGTCCATATATTTTTTATTTCGATAGCAAGAAAGACTTTTATATAATTTGAATCCTAGATACTTAATTACCTTTTTATTAAAAAAAAGTGAGAAATTTCTTTATTGCCCCTCATGGGATGGTCGAGTGGATGAAGCAAGTGAGCGCGAAAGCTTTTGGTCACGAATTCGATTCTCTCTACCAACACTTTCTCGATCGAACCTGTCACACCTAGCTTGCCTAATGCCGTTTACCTGGCTGACGTGATTTGTAAGTTATTGCGTCAGCTCGAGGGTTTACCCAATATGCACCCGAAGGGTTGTTCTCCCGTTATTTAACAAAAAAAAGAAAGAAAAAAAAGAAAAAAGGTGAGAAATTTCCTTATGTTATACTTATTCCTAAACTAAGAACCGGTCCATACATCACCATCCACATATTGGTGTACATTCACATGATGTAGTTAAATATGATTTAGGTCAGAATTTCTTCCAAAAAAATAAAATAAAATCTTTCCTCACTCTTTTCTTGATGGCTCATTTATTGGTAAAACTTCTTAACATTATTCTTGTGCCAAAGAGGATCATCATATTATCCTCTATGCAAAAGTACAACTGCCCAAAGTCCGGGACTACAACTAAATTTTAAGAAATACATAGGACGAAAGGAAATCTACAGTAAATCTGTGAACCAGATTCTTAAATCACATCTAAAAAGCAACTGTAAGAGTTTGAAATTCAACACAATGGGTGGTGCTCAGTAGAGGAGCTCCTCGAAAACAGGATCGACGCTTTGTCCCCACTTCCCATGGTACAATTCTAGAAGCTTTTCTGCTGGTGTTACACCTGCCATGAGGATTATGCCCAAGAATGTCAAGAGCCATTGGTACGATAGTGGCACTAAATTATAAATAATAAAAAAATAAAAAATCCAAACAAACAAAAAGGTTATACTCCCTTCGTCCCATTTATATAAATTAATTCTGTTTTTCACGCAGATCAAAAACTTTTATTTAATATTATTGAAAAAACCATTTTTGCTAAGAATTTTTCTAGTTTACCCTTATTTAATTATCAACAACTACTAGTAAATAATGGTGATTAAATGTGTTTTCGTTCATATTCCCAAGAAGAAGTGGGAAATGTGTTTATGTATTTGAATAATTCTAAGAATGTATGTTAAAATTTGGACAATTTCAAGATTAAGTGAGACGAATTAGTAACAACTAGGCAAATTAAATAAAGATATATTAGTAAACAAACAAAACAAATACTTTCTCAATAAAGAAATATGACCACATAAATTGGATTAGAAAATAAGAAAATCTATATCAATGGGATGGAGAGAGTATATGATACACAAGCCACTGAGTCTTGTCCCATGGAGGACCAAATGGCCAGCAGGATGCCATGTTAAAATTGGTATGATCACTACTTTCTGTCAAATGGATGCAAGGTGAATGCACTTACACTTATGTACCAGTCGTTAGCATGTTTCGCCATGTTACTTTTTCCTTCCATTGAAATTAAATTTACTTATTTATAAAGTAAATGTTAAGCTACTATCAAATGAAGTAACTTTTTTACTTTATCTTTGACCAATCAAAAAAATTCAATATCTTAAAACTTCCAAGTGAACATTCTAATCTTAGCTACACGTACGGTACATAAAGAGAGAGAGCATTTACATTAATTCAACTTAATATAAGAGAATGCAAATAAACAGACAGGCAACCCAAAAAACTGAAAGAATTATGACATTTTTTTCATACCTGTTCTAACGACCTCATTCATTTCATTTAGAAATCCTGTTTCCTTGTACCCTCTCCTTTCCAAACCATCCTGTGAAAGAGAAATGGATACGAGAATCGGTAATTAGAAATAAAAGAGAGTAACTGTTTTTACTTTTACGCAACTGCTACAAAATGGGAATTAACGACACCTTAGCCAACTTTACAACTTCTTGTGCAACATGCTTCAGCAGTCCATCTCGAAATGGCGTCTTCAAACCGAACTTCGGAACCTGCCATACAAATTTTTAAGTAAAAATTGCATCACCAGTGCCACGAAAGAAAAGGAAGAAAGCAGAGAAGGTAGTGTATCCATGTTTCAAGGGAGCACAATTTGTCCAAATTGTCTCATCTTGAATGAGGGCACTGGAGTCATTTCCAATAACAAAAAAATCAAACTGCATTCCTGATAGTAATAGTCAAAAAAAATTGATCTCGAATATCAAAAATATATGATCAAACAGCTTCAAGTATCACAAAATTGATGAGGCAAACAAAGACAACAACAGAATTAAAGAAATAGATACAAAAGATTAGGCCGTATTTTTCTCCCTAGAACAAAGGGTTGGAGGAGGTGGAGGCAATGAAGATGGCTCACTTGCTGGAGGAGGTGCAACAGCTTCAATATCTATTTTCTTGATTTTGTTAAACAGATTTTCTACTCTCTTCTACAAATTTAGCCTCCATTTCTATGAAGTGCAATGGGCATAAAACGGATACACAAGGCAAACTTAAAAATAAAGATATTCTCACGATCCTCTTTTACTAATTCATAGAAATAAAATAGACGAATCAACGGGTGTTAGAAAACCTTCGTTTCATCTTCATGAAATAGCGATGTCCAATAAAAGCAACATGTCAACAAATATTTAATGTCAAACTGTATGAGTACTAATATACAATCATGATCACCAGCTTTAATATTGTTTGAAAAAGTGATTGATAAAACAAGAAGGTACTGAATACAAATTTAAATAAAATATTTATCCCCTATCTAGCAGAACTTCTAGCTTAGGGGGTTCAAAGCAGCCATGTGTACCTAGTTCAAGTCTCGTTGTCACTCATTTATGAAAAAATTGTGACATATCAAACCTCTCAAAAAAATATAAATAAATAAAAAATAAAAAACTCAGCCTGCACATTAGGGGGCAGGTTGAAGACGTCAGTTAAATAGATACACGGTCCCCTCTCCAACAATTTAAGCTTTGAGGCGATGTGGTTCGACAAAACAAAAGGCAATATTAATTGATCTTCCAACTAACAGTTCACCTTATTCCTTAACATCTGTCTTTCTTCTGGAGTCCAATCAGCTGTCATGTCTAGAACATTTTGTAAAGAGATGTCATCATATAAGATGCCTACCTGAAATTTAGTAATAGCATAGCTAATATATCGTGGTGACATGATTCAACAACAAAAAACGAATGAAATCAGAACCGACCAAGAATGCTGAAGCAGAAACATATAAAAAGTTAGATAAATGTATTGTTTGTCACTCTCAATCTGGCACCCCCTCTTTTAAATTTGTAAGTAAATTAAAATTTCTCCACAAAATGGAAATAAACAAATGCAAACTTTCTATATTTTCAAGATACATAGTTTACCTACAATAAACAGAATCATTTACTATCATCAAAATTCTTTTCTTTTTTGTGTTTACGTGTATGATCTGATTTCAAGATATTTTTTAAGAAAACTGACCCTTCAATCCCAACAATACAACAAATATACTTATATTTCACAACTGCATAATAAAAATAAAAGTACCCAAAATGCAGGCAATGCGCATAGTCTCCTCCAAGGTCCTCCATCAGCACCCCTCATCTCCAAATATCTTTTAAGCCTGACCTGAAAAGAGATGTGGCAGAAACTTAAGAATGCCTTCAACAAAAATATGATTCTAACAACAAATTTACATGAATGATAGAAAGGTTTTAACCAACTAATTTCAGTGTAAACCTCAGGAAATATTGTCGTCAGATGATTCTCCCAGTCATTGAGGGTTGGATATTCATCCGGAAGACAAGGAAGTTTTCCAGACATAAAATCCTGCAGACGATTCAAATCAAAATATTAGCATTCTTAGAAAGAAAAACACATAATATAAAATAGCACAATAAAATGTGAGATTAAGCTAGGTAAAAACCCGGAAGGACATTCCAGTACAGTCTATATACTTCTTCTTCCGATAGACAAAATACATCGGAACATCAAGAGCATAATCTACATACTGCTCAAACCTGTACCAATAAGATAAGCACGGTGCTTACAGCATGAAATAATCTACTGATAATATCATCAAACCAAATCACAAATAGTAGTTCATGATTAGAAGAAACTTACAAATGCAGTTAGAAAAAAATAATGCTACAAGATTAATGGGTAGCAGAATAAATTTTGAGTAAAGAATAATTTCAAGGGGTATATTTAACCGAAAAAATTCGTTGATTTTCTCAAACCAGGTTAAGACAGGACAGGAACCCTGCTGTTCACAAAAGGACAATTATTATCCTTGCATATCAGAAGATTAAATTTGAAATCACATACTTATGTGCTACACTTCTGATCACAGCCTTCCTTGTCTGTATCCCATTGTAAATGTAAAAGGAGGATCCCTCATGGGTCATAGCCTGCTTGATTGTATGGTAGACTACTATAAATTTTGGAAAAACCGAGGCTAGCAAAAGCCTATAATATAGAAAACCCCACATAGCATGGACTCCCAACCAAACCCTCAACAGAGAAACAAATTGAGAAGTGGTAGAAGGGGAACACTGTCTTTAGAAAGGAACCATTTTCTTGCTTTGGTTTTGTCGTCACCGTCATAACACAAGAAATTCTGATCTCTTTAATTATCGAAAGGAAACGTGTATTAATTCCATGTGCGAACGCATCAATCTAAACAGGTCTCATACTGCGTGATAGTTATCACATCAATTAAATTAGCACATTTCTAAATTGCCTGTAACAGAAATATCTAGTCTATTTGTCTCTCTAACAGACTCCAGGTACATGTCTTTATTTTATTCCTGTAAGTAGACGAAAAGCAGGCTAGCAGTTTGCATCGTTTTAAATAGGAAACAATCTTCACAACGAACTCAATTTTTCCCTTTAAATAAACTGCAAACATTTGGATAAAGCCAAGTGACACTACTATCAGCACATGCCAAGAGGGACTAAAGAACTTGTAATTTCAAATTTGTTAGTTTATATTCCATGATATGTGGGCTTTGTGAAAGTGCTATGTAAATATACAAAAAGATGTCAAAGCAATACTCCTAAATCCAAAGAAGAACATAAAACAATATTTTCCCAGTCACCAATTCCGAAAAACAGGACAATACAACACATTTTTTCTTTATGTTTTATGGAAAAGCGTGTGGAATCTCACCCGAAAGAATCATCAAAGACAAATGGAAGCATGCCAGTGCGATGATTGTCGGTATCTGTCCAAATTTGGCTGGTAGAAAGGGAGAAATATTATTACATAATGCTCAAATACTGGAAAAGCTCAAACGTGGAAATAATAGTAATCACTTCTAATCATAAGTGGGCAACTCTCAAGAAATTCAATTATGGGAAAAAGTGAAATACCTTCTCATGCTAAGAAAACCATTTGGCTTCTCTTCGGTGAATGGTGAATTGGCAAACAGTGCTGTAGCTATCTGTTTTACAAACTAGTTAGATTCACATAATTGAATGCAATTCCATGATAAGAAAACCATTAGGCTTCCCTTCGATGAAAGGTGAATTGGCAAATAGTGCTATAGCTACCTATTTTACTAACTATTTAGATTCACATAATCAAATGCAATTGCATGATGAGAAATAATCTACTTACAGGCTGTAACGCAAGACCAGCCCTGAATTTCCTTATCATATCAGCTTCAGAATGGAAATCCAAATTCACCTGTGATATAAAAGTTACATGCTGTAATGCTCAGTATAACAAACATATATTATGAAAGGAAAGTGGCGAATTCTGCACAAGATAGTTACCAATGGTGTAATTCAAATGTAAAAATGACTAAAAAGAATATTCACACTCTCATCACCTGAACAGTACATGTCCGGAACATCATGTCCAGTCCAAGTGACCCAACTTTTGGCATGTAATTTCTCATAATATCATATCTTCCCTGAGCCAAGTTCTTTTGTCAGTATATGTTGCAGCTTCTCAATATCTAATAATTTATAATAAAGGTGTAGAATATCCGCAAAAAGAGCGGTGGCACATTTTAAATATAATGGACCAACAGAATTTATTACGAAAATTGAAGCACATTCCATATACGACTTATCACACCTCATGATTAAGTAAATGTGGCATCATAAGGTGCTGAAGTGTCTGATTGCCAAAGAAAAAGTCACCTGTTGTACAACACTTAAATAGAGATCGGAGTACTACGTTTTCCCCGAAAAGTGGAATCATCTTATTGTTTTCAAATGGCAACTATTTTACAGTTCACTTCGTTTTTTATGGCATGATCTAATTCAACTCCAGTACTGATTAGTCATCAAATAAATCTGCTTCTGATTGGAATTTTCCCATTCTGAACAGCCATGTAATGCCTAGGCATCATTGTTGCATCACAAGCTGATAATTATTCATATACCCTATGGAAATTATAGCCATATCCATTATTTTTGTCATTCGAGGATATCTTCACTGCATATAGAAACTACCTTGGGCATAATTGGTATATCTTTACGTTCCCACTTAGGCTGGAAGCCAATTCCTAAGAACCCAATCCCCATCTCCTCTGCAACAGCCTTGACCTGTGCATTTCATGTGCAAATGTAAAAAGAACAGAATTTACTTGCAGTATGTTTTCAGCAGCAAACAGAAACAAGTTTCGAAATAGAACTTTGTTAACCTGGTAGAGATGTGAATTAACTTCAGCACATGTTTGATGCAAAGTCTCGAGAGGTGCACCACTAAGCTCAAATTGGCCACCAGGCTCCAGTGATATGCTTTGTTTTCCCTGACAGAAGAAAACCAAGTTACTCTTAAGAATGTGCTGAATAAAAATGAAGAAATTCCAATTCATGGTAGTGGCATGCATTTGATATCTGAATAGAGGAGAGATGTTAAATATATTCAGAAATTTTTGAACATTTATGGTAAGGACTAGTTACATTACAAGTGACTAAGATGGACTTGAAGAAATGATATAGAGATTGATAGCGTACCCTCTAGCGTCACCATGAAAAGCCAATACATGTTTAAGCCTCCGTTGGCAAAAATTATAAATCATTTACAGCCAAAATTCATTTTCAACCCCAAGTTCCAATGGACCCAAAAATTTATTCACTTATCCACCACTCATTTCTTTCTATTTATACATTAAACCGATTACAAATTCTTCCCAAACGGAGGCTAAACTGACAATAGAACCAAAATTTTCCTGGGAAAAAAGTAATACCTGTTTGAGTCCAATAATCTTGTCACCCTCCATTATTTTTTCCCAATCAAATCTCTCAGAAATGCCATTAAGCAGCTCTGCTATTTGTTCATATTTCATGGGCTGTAACGTTCCAAACTCAAACCCAAACTTTTCATGTTCAGTCCCTATCCTGTTTAAGCCATGGATTCATATAAAGGGAGGATTAGATTTCTGGAGACAGCTTCAATATGATTCAACTTCAAGCAAACATGAACGTACAAATTTTTTGAAGCATTGACATCATACAGGCTTTAATAAACAGAGAAAACTTTAACTGTATCTGTGTGGAAGATTGAATTCATGATAATGCAACACCAAAACTCTTAACCTTTTTATATTTAAGCTAAAGCCAAGAAGAATTAAAAAAGACGGCAGTCATAATATGCAGGAAGTCATAAGATAGCCTGGTGTTTTTTTACTTTGACAGGGGAGGATGTCTGCCAAGAATCAAATGAAGAATTACCTTTTTATCGATCAAAAGTCCTTTTGAAATAGGCTATTCAGGAAAAATGGTCTGGTTCCTAATTCAGAAACAAGCATAACATAAAGAAATTGCTGACTTTGATCTTATAAGGAAAAAAAGAAGAAGTAATCAAGTGTCTCGGATTCAAATTATGTAAAAAGTCTTTTTAACCTAGTAGATAAAGGCTAGAAACACGAGGAATGGAGGCATGCTAAATTCTTTGTATCCAATAGCACCAAAGATCAACACAAGGCACCAGTTTCATGACCAAATCAATTATAAACTCAGATAGCTAACACATAGATGTATCCCATCTCCATAAAAGGAAATCAAATAGAAAGAGGCAGCGGCAAAAAAAGAATACACTAATGTTTCATTTTATACCACCAAGAAGTTAAGTGATCAATATAGGGTGTATGATATTAAAATGCATACATGTGAAAAATGGCCAATCGTATTATATAATTCGCCTCGAAAAGGCATTAAGCCGAATTTGGTGCATAAGTCATCTCAGCAGCTTTCCAGAACGCGTAATAAATAATATCACTAAATGTTTCTCACAAGAAACGCTGCAACTAAAATTTAAGTACCAATAAAAACTAAAAGTTGAACCTCCAGTTTTCCTTAGGCTTGCAACCAGAAACCAGGTAATCAACAAGATCTTCTTCGGTCAGTGGCTCTGTGGCAATGACAGCATCGTCTGTTGGAGGACTTGCAGCAACAATCACCTGATGTCCTCGCTTGTACTGTACTTCAACAGCATTCAAATTTAAACTTTTTGTTGCCTTTAAAGAATTCCACGATGACGGACAAATGCCGAAAGAGATTTCCTTCGTTTTCGAAGCCTCCACGGTGTTAGCTATGCTATGGATCCCATTGAGTCTAACTTTACACTGCATTGTGTCGAAATGCATGCAATGTGATGAACCAGTCTGGGGCATCACTGACATCCTTAAAAGCTGAGAAGTCAAGCATAGAAACTATTAGAACAGCCTTCCAAACAAAAATTTGGTGCGTTACCGCTATGATGATTAAATTGAGAATTGATGTGTGTTAGTGCATAGTTTTTGTGTCACAGAATATCCGGGCAACAAAAATATATTAACTGGATCATGGTCGGCAAAATTATCATGGAGTTCCCGAATGCAGTACAAATGAACATTTAAATACTGAGACACAATTTAAACAGAAACTCGCATTGTAGGACCTCAGAAACCACAGAAATTGAAGTAATTGACATCATATATTCAACCTTTACTTCCTCCAGCCCAATCTGGACCAAAGAGCCATTATATGTTGAGGTCGTTGAACCACCTTCTCTGAAAGCTTAAAACGTTAGAACGGGTACTAATTTATTTATTAAGCTTTGTCAAAATGGTGTAAGCCAAATTCATTTTTTTATGAAAGACCTAATGGACATAATAGAAGTAACCTGGGGCATTTGCCCTCTTTGATAACGCATTGAACTACAAGTTCTAGTTCCAATCTTACCACAACCTATTTATGAAACTCATGTATGTGTCATGCCATTGACAAAAAATAATTCAGCCTAATAACAGGCATCATAGATAAAACTTAAATAAGTAAATTTGTACCGGATTAAGCTTTCACATGAGTTGTTCACTGAACTTGACCAGACTAAAATTTTATGAAGTTAAGCTTCAGACACTGTAACACGCAAAGTGATTTCATTTGCCAAAATTTCCACGCAATCAAGGTGAGAAAACAATATAATTACTGAAATTAGCATTAGCTGAAAGCCGTTCAAATGGAATTTCACAACCTTACCTTGATTTTACACACTTTTCTCTCCATTATAAAAACACAACCTTTCCAGTGATCAAGTCATGCAGTAAAAATACATGGACAACTATACAATTATACAAACAAGAAACTTGAACTCAATTCAAAAATATAGAAAATGATCCATAAAAACGAAAGTAGCTAACTTTATATAAACCCATATGCAAAGAACAAAAATTTCACAATAATATCTCATAATTATAGAAAACCACAAAACTTGATAAACTGTGTTAAAAGTTCAATCTCGAGAGTACTGGTAAAAATGAAAAATACCTCGGCTTGGTAATAACAGAATGAAAATGCCAAGTTCTGATTTCATAATCTTTTATCTTTGCACTCCACAATAATTAAACAATCTTTCCAGTGATCAAATCACGCAGTAAAACTAAATCGCTAACTATACAAAAAGAAACTTGAACTCAATTGAAAAATGATATACAAACACATAAAAAAAAGAAGCTAATTATACATAAACCCAAATGCAAAGAACAATACTTTTACATAAATATTTCACGAAAAATTAAAGAAAATCCAACTGTGCTAAAACTTGAATCTTGAAAATACCTGAAGTTGATAAAATCAGAACAAAAATGCCTAGTTTTAATTTGAGCAATTTGTATGGAGAGTGAATTGAATAGGGTGAGGTGCTAAAAATGCCGTTTTTGTATTTTATGTTTGTATTCTAATTTCATTCGCCGGAGTGAGCATAGACTAAAAATGATGAATTGAAGAAAGAACGGTGAATGGGGCACGGGGAAGTTATACAGTGAGGCGGCATCCACTGTTTTTTTCTGTGGTCCACTTCCCATTTCCTTGATGCGTCATATCATCATTAAGATTCCCATTAATCATAATGATGGCATCCCTAAAATGGAAAAATAAAGAAACATGCTGGTTGAGTGGATTTAGAATTATTATTAAGTCGCTGTTTGCGCCATTTTTTTTTTTAAATTAGAGATTTTTTTTTTTTAAAATGTGTGTTTAAAAAAATAAAAACTCCCGAATTGATGTGCAAAATTATTTGCAAGAGAATTTGTGATTAAAATTGAGTTTTGAGAATAATAGGAGAGAATTATTAAATGTTAATTGTTGGTAAAAAACTTTGTCAATTGTCACATATTAAATATTAAGATTTAAGCTAATGAAGCGCAAGTCAAAATTATTTATCATGTCTCAAGGAGTTAATAATTCAAATGGTCAATGAACTTTAAAAATCATTCAAGTTATCACTGAACTTTTCAAAAGGTTTTTACGGGGTTACTGAATTTTGCAAAAGGTTTCCATCGGATCACTGAATTTTAAGCCTCTGTTTGGCCTCCATTTTGTAGAGTTAAAAATTGGTGAATTAGTGTTTTTTTGAAAAATGAGTAGTTGAAAGAGAAGGAAAAGTTTTCGATTTACGTATAATATTATTTTATGGAAGATTGTGTGGTTGAAAATAATAGAGAGAAAAATGTAATATAATAGAAATTAATGAAGGTCAAACGGAGGCTTCAAATCATCTCATTCATTATTAAACTTTGCAAAAAGTTTCTTAGGAGATCACTAATTTAGTGATCTCTAGGAAAACTTTTGCAAAATTCAATGATTCAATGGAATTTTTTTTTGCAAAGTTTAATGATGAATGTAAAGATTTTTAAAGTTCGGTGATTCCGTGGAAACATTTTGCTAAGTTCAGTAATAATTTGGGTGATTTTTAAAGTTTAATAATTTTGTGAAAACTTTTTGTAAAGTTGAATCACCATTTTGGTTATTAACCCTGTCAGAGTAGATAAAATTAAGTTAATGTTTAGAGTCTTATTTTTAGGAAATAAATTTTGTAATAAGTGATTTTTTTTAAAAAAAATGATATAAAAATTAGTTTAGGAAAATATAAATTTTAGAGAATGGTGTTCAAATAAAACCGATTATAAAGAATTTTGTATGAGATTGTTTGCTCATTTTTGGGTTTCCATAGTTTAGTTCGATAACACTAGAATGGACCGGCTTATAATTCAACTTCTTTACAACACGAAAGGACGAAAATAGCACGCATCGATTGAAACTTTCCATACAATTCCAAAACAAACTATAAAACAGTAAAAACAAGATGATTGAACCTTCATTGCCATGATATTGACCAAGATCAAATGGGAGTATATGATCGGGAGCTTAGGCGGCGACAGGGCAGCTATGGGAGGGTTTGACACTGTGTTGTTATTTCAAATAATGTCTCATTTGTATTCGATCCTTTGTATGTATTCGAATTCTGAAAAGTACAATGTTGTTTGTGAATGCATCGTCAATTTACGTAACAACATGGTGAAAATTAAATAATATGATCAATTAAATATAAGAACACGAAACATATATTATTTGACATATTATTCAATGTCATTTAAATATGATGATATCATCATGAAAACGAATAATATTAATCTTATGAAAATGAGTTTAAAGCCACCCTATAGTTCATATGAAAGTCCAAGAAAAAATAGATAAACTTAAAGATGACAAAATGTCTAGTACCCTTAGCTCAACTGGATGGGAATTACACAATTAGATAGGGATGAAGAACGCGATCCTTGTATAAAACTTCTATCCAATTTTCATGTCATAAGACAAATTTTAAATGACAAATATGTTAACTTCCAAATTTACCTTTCTACCCTTTCAAGTTGGTCAAAAATTGGTCAAAATTCAATTTTATTGGTCAACTAACGGTCAAACGGACGATTTCCATCCATTTAGAACCTCGGTGCATATTTTTGAAAGGTTTGAGACTGTGTGTAGCACAAACGAAAGGTTTAAACTAAATTTGCTAATAAACGAAATGTTTGGTACATCGATTGCAATTTTTAAAAAATAAAAAGAAAAGAAAAGAAAAGAAAAGAAAAATAAAGGAGTGATTGTAGTCATAGTCTTAAATTTTTATTAAAAAAAATTATCTTTCTTTCTTGTTCCCTCCTCCTCCACCACCACCACCACCACGACCACGACCACGAGTGAATCACCCAAATGGTTATTGAACTTTGCAAAAAATTTCCACAGGGTCAATGAACTTTAAAAATCATCCAATTCATCACTGAACTTTGCAAAAAGTATTCACGAAGTCACTGAACTTTAAAAATTACCTCATTCATTACTGAATTTTACAAAAAGTTTCCACATGTTAGTGACTCCTGAGAAATCTTTTGTAAAATTCAGTGACGAATTATGTGATTTTTAAAGTTCAGTGACCTCGTGGAAGTTTTTTGCAAAGTTCAGTAATGAATTAAATGATTTTTAAAGTTTAATGATCCCGTGAAAATATTTTACAAAGATCAGTAACCATTTAGGTAATTCACTCCATCAGTTTTAATCTATGGTGACCAACAGTGAGTGATCTGATGCGACAGAAAAAATTAAACAAAGCAAAGCATATTTGTTGACATTTCTGTAGTGTAAATTGCATTTCCTTTCATTCTGGTGTATTATAAATTTTCTGGATTTCTCTCTACAATAATGGTGATAATTGTACTTTCTACTTCTCTCCAATCCTTCTTTGCAGCAATGACTTTACAATGGCAATGATTTTTTTGTTAAAAATTCTAAAGTGATTTGTAATATTCAAAGAATTCAAATCAAAATTGAACGCTTTAACAACTCAAGAAAATTCAAAAATAAGGATAAGAGTCACAATTCAATTTAATTACTCAAGATGAATATTCAATGTATGAAAGCTGTGAATTAAAAATCAACTTCAAGCAACAGTTGGCAGCATTATGATGATTCAAATACGGCTGCAAATACAGATTAACCAGATGCAAATAATGAGAAAGATCACCTATTATCTTGTTGTAATTGTACAGATTAGAATTAGACTACTTCATGTTCTCTATGAAAGGAAGGTGTGTATGTAGTGTCAACATATGTAGAAGGAGTGTAAAGAAAATTTCTAGAGAGAGAGAGAGAGAGAGTGTGAGTGCTGTAGCAACTCATTTGTAATCTCCCAAATTTTATAAGTACAATTTCATATTTCTCCTATCTATTTCCTTCCACACCCAACATTTTCTCTTCAATCTCTTCAAATCATCTGTTCCCATGCAAATTTCTTCGAAACTATGTTCTTCAAATTACTTATCATTGCTCATGCATTTTTATAGATCTGTGAAATCGGTTGAGAAGCCTTCACCTGTTAATTCTCCAATCGATCAGCAGCATCATATGACAATGGGTCAGGCTTCAATTTTCTCCAGTTAATTCTCCAATCGATCCAATTTTTCCCTATATCGTCCACTGGTGGAGGCTGCCCATCCAACAGTTTATGTTTGTACTTCCTTTTTAATTCTATTGAATGCCAATTGTTCTTGACATTTACCGTGTGTTGAGTTCTATTCGGGAACAACGATTGCGCTGCTTGCCCCACAAACTGTGCTAGTAGCCGCTCTGTGAGCGATGATCCAAATTATGATGCTTCATTGCTGCTCTATATACAGACATTGTGAGGAAAAGGTATTATTGGAGCAACAGTGTCCCTTCTTCTAGGCAATATTTTATTCAATTTGGTTCAAATGAAACACTTGTCTTATCACTATTTTAGGAATTTGCTTTCCATGAAGAGGAGAAGACCCCAATTTGGTGTCTAAATCGGCTCTGATTTATCAGCTTTGCATGATTCTTCCATTAAAAAGAAGAATAGCTCCGATTTGTTGTCTAAAACCAAAGAAGGATAACTCCGATGTGATTAGGTATAGGTTAGGTTTAGGTGGTGGAGATCGAGGTGGAAGTAGAAGTAGAGGTAGAGGTAGAGGTGGAGGTGAAAGGGGAAGATAGAAGAGATTTTTTTCCCCTAATTTTTAATTTAGGATTCGTTTGCACTTTTTTTTCAAAAAAAATAAAAGTTAAGACTACAATTGCAATTAGTTCTTTATTTTTTTATTATTTTATTTAAATAAGAGAGTATATTCATCATTTCATAACTTTTTATTGAGAAATTGGATAAAAATGGATTAGAATGATGGTTTCTGCAGTAAAAGGTTGAAATAGGGATGGGAAAAAAAAAAGTAGAAACGTTTTGCACATTAAACTCCATATATAGGGATGTTTTGTGCTAATAACCCATATATAATGGTTATTCGTGTAGAGTCGAAAATCCAAATTGACGTTCTTCTGTTTGTCCAAAGTTTGGTAGATGTGGAATACAACTACTATATAAGGTGTTATGTACAAATATTCTAATAATTCGAGAAAGTTAGAATTTGGAATAATTCAACTTTCATGATATTAGAGCAAACAGAAAATTACGAAAATGAAATAATTTAGTTTGAATAATATTAAGCAGTTTAATGTATTTTCATATTTTGTGTTATTTTTCTTATTCATTTCTTTATTAAACAATATTCCATTTTGAAATTTTAAAATACTTGGCATGACCTAAGAGTCATTGGTCATTAAATAGTTAATAGATACTAAAATATCAACTGCACTGCAATACTGCATAATGTTTTTTATTAATTTTTTATCAATCAAGAAAAAGAAACGCAAACCATTTCTAAGAATGAAAATGACATTTTAAACACGAATTAAGGATTGAATGAAAATAAAAAGCTATCAACAGAAGGAATATATGAAGTTGAGGTAATAACATAAAAATCATAATTATTTGAAAGTAACTTTTAAGTTTAAATGTACCGTAAGAATTATATTTTCAAACAAAATAACTTTTTTCCTTAATAAATTTTAGGAACACAATCAAATTTGTGTGAAAATAAAGAATTACTTAAAATAAATTTTAAACTATTTTTTTTTTTAATCTTTGATTATATT